AGCGTTACGTGTGATTTGCGCCAGTCGAGTGGTTTTAGGTAACATTTTCGGGGACACCAATACAGAGGTATAAATGATTGTTAGTTACTTAATAATGGTTACATATAATTTGTGGCGGTCTCTGAGACAGCATTGTGTAATTGGACATATGTTTTGTATTCTTAGAAAAGACCACACACATGTATTCTCGACGTTTAGGAATTTTAAACCGATGAAACCATTTGCAAGCCCCCTGAAGCGTCAATATGTTTTTATAACGGGAATGAGCCGATGAGGATGGTATGAGATCAGTCANGTGGTGGTCAGCCACAAGATGCTATACGTGGCAATCACGAGGCCTATGGCTATCTGATGAATGAAATTTTTAGGCTGTTGAAATAGGTTTAAGTGATTCATGAAATAATCCGGTCAGAATAACCGGTGTTCCATAAAACTTGTGCAAAATGAAACACAGGTGAAAGCACAACGATTAATGGGATCAATTGAGAAAATTAGCTATTGAAGGTGGAGAAAAAAGAGAGTATGCACATCAATTTTGTGGAATACGTGTGTGATTTTTGTTCAGACCGAGTGTGACTGCTATCATGTCACATGAACTGATCTGACACATGAGTGTCGGATCACCTGATAATCCAAATTAAGTAACTGGGGAATGATACAAACTAATTGGTTCTTCGTATTTAGTTTTTATTTCAATTTTAGACTGGCAGCTTCGTGTAGCCTTTATCATTCTGTAGTTTAGTTGAAAAAAATACCCCATTGGAAATTCAGGTGTTTACTTTCATCCGTTTTGGTCAACAAGCACATTGCTCAGAATGCGTCTATCGAAGGCTAGCTGATATCGATAAACTTCCTTTCGGTTTTCAACAAGAATTCGAATAAATAATTCGTTATGTATAAGGTGAACACGAAGAAAACTTCTTTTTGAATAGGCTTCATGCTTACGAGTATTACTGTCTGTGGAGAAACTTGAACTTGTGGGCATTGGCATCGTTGGTCCCATTTCCGTTCTCCTGTCTGGTCCATCCGTACCGACCGGAGCCCCGATAACTCCTGGTTGGACAGCAGTGCATTCCATGATGCTATTCACGTGATCACAATGAATCACACCGGTTCTCAGACCGCAATCCGGCGATTTGGGTATTTCTGTGGATGAGTGCACTGGGAGATCAGCCGTGGCAAAATTAGTTACCAGTAAATCGGTTCCGGCGGGGCTTTCGGCAGAACGTAACGATTGACTAGTGATTGAACGTCCCGGAACTACAGCAGCCAAACCTCCTGCACTGGGGTACATTGGACGCATCATTTGCAGTCCCATACTCGAATTGGACGGACTATGCAGACCGCTGGATGAAAAACTATAGAACAGGGCAGAAGGTGGAATTCGTTTACGGAACGGTTTTACTCCTTTGCGTTTAGATCCACCGTGAAATGCCAAACTGGTAGCCGCCTCATCCGCGTGCATGGATTTCATAAGGTCCCCGCAGAATTGTGCATCCCATTGGGTGGCCGAGCCAAGAATGTGTCGTTCGGTCAGATGTCGTTTCCGATAACGAAGAACACAGGCCAGAATTATGCTCAAAAGTGCGAAAAATACCAGACCACATGTAAGTCCTATGATGAGAATAGTGAATTTGGATGCGTTCCTGATTCGCCCGGATTTGGCTGTTGCTGTTTGAACACCATTGTTAGTCCCGGTCATTGAGTCCTCTGCTTTGGGATGTATTGGTTCAGACCACGGACTGTAGGTGCATAAAAGCCTCCCGTTAGGATACTGTGGGTAGATGACACGTAGAGGGATTATTCTCGTTGATAGAGGACATCAAAATTAAAAAGGCTGAAACATCAGTTTTTGCATTGTCACAGAAAATAAACTTTTTTGAACGAAATGACTGTGAACTTCGAGCAGCAGATGAAATGAAGGTTTTTCGCATCTGGCTCACGGCTGCTTGTGAGTGGTGGTGTTGAATAATTGATTTTTATTGATTTGAGCCGATTATCCTTCAGATTTCACCTTCACGCACAATCCTTAGTTCATCGCTCTCAGTGGATCTTATCAGTAGTGTGTAGCCACCGTCCCTTCCGGGATTTGAACTCCGGACCCATCGCATGGAAGGCGTGTGCGTTACCACTGGTTGAATCTATGAACTGAGGATTATGCGTAAAGGTGAAGTCCGAAGGATAATCGGCAACAAAAGTGAAGGTAGTAGAACGATCGCAAACAATGCAGGTTAGTATTTGTTTAGCTAATCGAATTCCAACTTGTTGAGAAACACCTCATTAAATTTACTCATCCTCAATGCTTTTGCTAGATAACATTTTTAAACAGACCATAGTTCCTGTGAAATGATTTATGAAATTTATTGTAGTATTGGATTGTTATGCGCTGTGGTTAATGGAAGCTGTGCAAGCTACCCTAGCCAGAAGTAATCGGGTCGTATCTGTTAACTTTTTAAAGTATTTTAATAGGAGATAGATGATCAGCGACCGGATAGACTTCTGGTTGCCAATACTGTGGTCTTAGTTGAGGCTATATTGCGTCCATGGAGCCAATATGTGTATGCTCAGTATCCGGATAATAATTAGTATATATATCTATATATATCAAAACTGGAATCAAACCCGATCCTCAGATCATGGGCATTATTATTATTGTAGATGGAAGAAATGTTCATCTTGTAATCTAACTTCACCTCATGTATCACTGAGAAGCCTCGTGAGCTCGTCTTTTATTCCACTACTCTGAACCGTGTTTGTGACAGTTAGAGTCGGGAACAGAGAGTGGTTTCAGTACCGCGAGATTGCTTGCCGAACCACTTTGGTAAAAGCCAAGGCACTGAACCTGAACTGTCTATTTAGCCAGGCAGGCAGGTTTGTGAGTCTTCCCGGAACAGAAAGCATTCAAGCTAACCTGAGCTCAGCACAACCTAGGTCACGTGTTGAGCTTTGCACATCAACGAGTGGTACACTGCCAATTCCATTGTGTTATTTAAAAATGTCTGAGAACATGTAGTTCACCGTATGACTGCAAACACGGAATGGGTGAATTTTAATTGCCACTGAATAGTGCAACAGAACCTAGACTTTAGACAGCTGAATTCTGAGGAAACCACGATTTTCTGATGGATGATCATACGCACCCGGTATGAGGGTGTCACACGAATCGCTAGAATACATGCTTCCCATTGGCGGACTACTTTGGATATATGACGGTGATTTCGAACGTTAGTTTCATGAAACTTATCAATGAGAGTTCATCTAGGTCGAAGGTTTTCTTCAAATGGGTTAAAATCTGGAATAGAAATTATCATCTAGACCTGTTCATCCTTAACGATTATCTATTTTTGATTGTGTACACTTATCGAATTACTTAACTTCTGGCTTGCTCGGATGTTCGACACAAATAAATAGAAACGATATCGTTAGTTAGGAGGTTCGATTTGACTATGGATAATGAAAAACCCGTAGGAAAAACAGAGCTAAAAGTGCAGAAAATGGGTGCGATCAAGGCTTCATGTGCATCGGGCAGAAAATCATGAATCAACCATAAGAACATCGAAGTGCAACGAAGAGTGAACAAGAGGAGGCCTCTTGGACACGATAATCTAGGGCTGATCTACGGGGACCAGTGACCTAGCAAATAGCACGATGCCACAATGGGATAGACATAGTACGCAGCCTAAAGACACTGAAGCTGTCTTTCACCAACATTAGGTGGTATAGTTCACGTTAGAGCCTCAGAGCATATGGTCAGGAAGGTGATTTAAAAACATCCGGACGGAAATGGGTTCTCATTATTCTGCGTACCATCCGAATGATTTTTTCTTCAAAGTTATTTCTAGACCTCATGACCGCAATCCTCGTGAGTGTCATTTATTTGATAATAAGTAGTTTCACTGATCTATTATTCGAAGCCACATAAAACCCAATCCAACAAACCGTCAAATCTCTCAAGTGTTTTAAAAACAGGATACGTGATCTACCTAGAAGTACCGCAAATCAAGATATGCTAGAACGATGAAAGTTTGTTCTCTGCTACCGTGTAAAAGGAAACAATTTAAACTGATGCAGACCTCGTTCCTATGGTGAATGATCCTGCTCTGTTGTCCATCTATCGACTGGATAAATTATTCAATAAATGATGTGTAGAAATTGCTGCATATCACATACTGTTCAATTATGTACACACGCGTATGATTCAAATTTGAGTGGGAGAAAAGAAAGCCTTTGGTTATCGATTGGCTTACCTTCGAACAAGCACTAAGTGCAACGCGGTATGTGCAAGACAAATCAATCGGTCTATTAGCAACACGGATTTCCTGGTTTTCTGACGGCTCAAATGAATCGATGAATGTTGCCGATCTTTTACCTCGCACTGTTCCGTTGATTGTATGACTATCGGAGAACTCCAAACTGGGTTCACCAGCTGTACGTGATACACGCTGAGGCTGTTCACTACCAAGGATGACAATAGCTGTATTGTGATTGGGCTTGAACAGATCTATCGGTGAGCCACGAATAGCAAGATAGGGTGCAGCTTCTGTGACCGGTTTCCGCAGATTGTTGGATAGGGTTGCAAAGCTGAATTGATCCGGTGGCTGCTCAAAATCAATGTTTGAGTCCGTGGCACACGAGTACGGAGCTACCAGTACAAAGTATTCGTGTAACGGTCCATTTTGCTCCGTGATGCGTTGTATACGCAATTCGAGCAGAGTTCCGGAAGAAGCTTGTGAATCCAGCGGAGGATGAATGGCCTCCAGTTCTGGAGCTTCGACAACTTGTGGTCCTTCAATGGAAGCAAAATATCGTCTGACCGATTAGAAGTAAAACCGTTCTGGATAAAAACGGAAGATCCATTATCTACCATAAATCTAGGTAGGTGAGTTGTGAGACGGTATTGGTTCATTGACGCAAATGGGGTCAATATGATAAATATTTCCGTAACAACACTGTCACTAAACCTGGGATGTTATATTGTAAACTGTTACAAATCTGATATTCTTCCAGTTGTGGTGTTCGAATGGAAATGTATCAATGAACTCCGTAGCAATAAGTAACCATGCATTGTTTTGCAATATGACATTCGTTAAAATGAAACAATGTGTTGATAAAGTATTGAAAATCTTTTCTTGTACCTCGGGTGAACTGAATTCCATTTCACCTGGTCGCCCAGCTTGGCCGTTTGTTTGAAAACATTTCATCACCAGCCGAAGTGTCAGCATCAGTGTATTTAAAGTGCCAATGTTACGCTTGCACCCGTTCTGCTCCACCGACTTGTTCTCACTGCGTTCGACTCGGTGTGAAGGGGTGTGTGTTTGAGAGAGTTGTTCTTCCCTCATGAGTGTGATATCGGTCCGTTCTCACGTCACAAGTTGACCTTTTATTGTGTCATTTGACCCTTCAGTTGCATTGACGTGTACATGTAATCCAGTTCGATTTACCTGTTCATTGAGTTGATTGAAGAGTGCCAAGTCTCAGGAATTTCTCGCTCACATCGTAACTTGAAAACGGACCAAAAGCGCAACCAGGACGGAAGAACATCAACTCGCACCCTTACCCACTTCGCCCCAGTTCAATGGCGAACCGAGTAGAAAGGAAGGCAGTGAGAACAACGGACAGAAATCGGCGGTGGAGAAGAACACACAAACGGACGGATACAAGCGGAACACTGTCGCTTCACAAGCACGGACGATGTGGCCTCGGTTGGTGATGAAATATTTTCAATAGAATTGTCAAGCTCGGCGAGCAAGCAAAATGAAGCAGTGCGTATTGGGTAACGGCATATTGTGGGAACTAATGTTTCAGCCGTTAGTTTGATTCGTTTGGGAATCGTTAAACGCTAGTTCATGCAGATGGAATGCGGGAAAGACGAAAAGGATCCACCGGGCCCTTTACTTTACAAAACAGTTTGCTAAGTTTTCATTTCAGATCATTGTCACAACTAGGAACCCCAGTGGCCGAAATTTGTCTAAACAAATTCTCCGAACATTAGAACGAACTTACATCCTGAATAGAAATCATCCAAGTCACAGCAGAAAAACAGGTTTTAATAATACATATAATTGATATATTTTCAAACACAATGACAGAATGAGCATGTGACGCGGCACAGTAGTACCAACCCCAAGAAATTCCATTACCACCTTGGTGTTTATATTTATCAAAATATCTTCGTCCATTCACATGTAGCAATTGATCAAGTTTGTCTTACGATTAGTCGCATAATGCAAACTGTTTTTTTAATTTCACCAAGCATGACCTTTATCACGATTGTTTTCGTTTTGCTGGTGTTATCCTATGACGTATACCTAAACGTAACTACAGTGATCGACTGTGACAGAAAATCAAACGAGGAACTGCTTCCAAATCGCAACGTTACGTCTTCTCTCTGTGCTGCTTACTATCAGTTATCAATTGAAGTGATTGATGACCTGCACTCGGACTAAATTATCTTGCATCATATGCAATGAAGGGCAATCTAATTATTCTTACTTTTATTGATTTTGACAATCATACTCACCACTACCCACCAATACTAAATAGGGTATGAGGAAACGCGGACAAAGCAAAATTTCACATTGCGGCTGTGTAAAACCAAATAACCAATAGAAAGAGACATTTTCTCGATTTTTTTTCTTACATTAAACATGATATGCAAATAAATCGATCTGATTAATTAATAAGAATTCCGAGCTGTTGACGTATCCAGTCGTACTCACGTTTCCAGTCAGTGTGACAAATCACTGTGACGGAGACTCCTTCGGTTTGATCCACACCAACACCACCACTTCCAGTGCCCCCGAGGGACGAGCGTAACTGATACAACGGCCGCACAACAAACTCATAGCGACTGTACGGTTCCAAATCGGTCACTTGAAGGAATTGGAGCAATTGATCCGGTGTTTGCCGATCCAAGGTGGTCTTATACCAGCTGGGAAACCGTGTGGCCGGCTGGTGGGCTTGACGAATCTGACGTTCGCCCAAATGCACGGCTTTGAGAACTCCGTACTCGGTCAGGAATTCTTTGCGTCCGTTCAGAGTAATCTGCATACCAAAGCACATTCATGAGAAAAAAACAATGAAGCTCGGCAAAATGTTTTACGTGAAGTTTGTTAAGAAAACATAGCCATAACATTTAATGGGAGACTAATTCTCACACGGATACACTAATAAGATCGATTTGTAATAGAAATGTCGTGCGGCGGTTGACAGAGAGCACTGAATCAATTTCTTGCCCGTGTTTAGGGAGTGCGTTTGTGTCTGTCTGAGACTCCAGTCGATAACTATACGGTTTGCACTAACCAACAGCTTTGTGCGCAGAGCGAAAATAAGCGTATTAGAGTTAGGCATGTTTTATTACAAGCGCATTAACGGACATCAGACATGAGATGCATCTCAATTTTTCTCATGGCTTTCAATCCTTTTAAATTTCTGCGCTTTAAATTCACGTGAAGAGTAATTCTATTTTCAACTTATGACTACTCCTGAGTAGTAATGTTGGAAACATACCTGTATGATGCCTCACTTTAGCTGTGATCCAGTTCCGGTAACATCAGCTTTGTTCACACAGACTGCATGCAGGCGCGACGGACATTATACTGCTCTCTAGACAGTGAATCACTCTAATATTCACTGTTTTTTTAAGATCAGCGACGTTTGATGAAATTATCAGCACAAGGTTGCACTCAGATTTTATAATTTTTTCTTTAGGATAAGATGATCGCATGGGACACAGGATGTAGGTCACTTAGAGTCGATGGTCAGTGGAGCTGAATGCTACCGGACGCCGTGAATAGGATAAAAGTTAAGAAATACCGCAGTTTTCATTTTATACGATATTCCCCTTGTTATTCATTAATTCTGGTAATAAGGTCACTTTTCCTCAAGCATGAACAAACAGTTCATGAAGAATAAGGCAACTGTTGGTTAATTATTGTAATTACTCCAAATAAAACCCAATGGGTACCTGATTAATATTCGTTTTCATCTGTTATCCAGGCTTATTGATTGCAGCCTCACTCTCCGATCTGCTTGCAACTCTTATTGGTGAATTGTTTAGTACGTGCTTGTCATCCGGAACGATCCCCGATTGTTGAAGGTCACCCCGGGACAGACAAATCCCAGAGAAAGGAGCGTCAAAGTACCGTCCAATCGCCTGCAAATATGTTTTTCTGAAAGATTTTGACAATGTTTTGTTGCACCGCATGATACCCCTTTGCAACTCTCATGATACTGTACAATTTGCCTATAAACCACATCTGTCCTTACTTGACGCTGTTACCCATATTGGTCA